TGATGCACTTGATATACTTCAGTTTTAAATCCAGAACTTTTTTGTTTAAACAAGGTAATGCACCTTATTTTTTATGTTTAGCTGTACAAAAGCAGTCTGTTATGCTGTTTGATTCTGCAAACAGGTTTTTTTCTTTGTAATTTAATTATCAAAATCATAAAAAATGGTTTGTAGCACAAATAGTCATACTATTTACTGCACTTGTTATTCTTCTAATTATGCATCTAAAGCAGCAATACGAATCAGAACTCTTTATATATAAATAGCTCCCTTCCGCAATGAAAAATAAAGGGGATAGTTTGAAGCTCTAGGTGTTAGCCTGCACTCTTCAGCACCCCAAGATTCAGACTCATTAAATTTCCAATGTGCCATCTTGCTCTCTTATTAACTTGGTAATTGTTTACAAGCAGTGATAATACCCAGAGTCATGGCAACTGTCATGGCTGAGTGGACAGAAGTGATCTCCAAGCACCAGGCTGCCATATTAAACATCTACTCTCTGTCCAAAACAGAATTGAGAATGAGGACGAGCTATTTTTTTTCCTGCTCTGCCCTAATAGACAAGATATGTCTTGCTTGCGGGCATCATCGCAGTAAAGATCATTACACTAAACTATACATTCAGGCACTATTACAGTAGGACCTGAAATTCAAGACACTTAAAAACAATCGCTTTTTTTTCTTTCTCAATTACGGCGTGTTTATACTGTCAAGCAGCATCTAATGGAGTGTTTTACAATGTGTATTATCTTGTACAAAGTAGTGATGTTCTCTCCTGTTCCATCTGAGGATGAATCTTACAAAAGTTTAACATATGTGACCCTGGACCACAAAACCAGTCTTAAGTGTCAATTTTTCAAAATTGAGATTTATACATCATCTGAAAGCTGAATAATAAGCTTTCCATTGATGTATGGTTTGTTAGGATAGGACAATATTTGGTCGAGATACAACTATTTGAATATCTGGAATCTGAGGTTGCAAAAAAAGATCAAAATATTGAGAAAATCGCCTTTAAAGTTATCCAAATTAAGTCTAAATGAAGTTTATATATATTTACGGTAGGAAATTTACAAAATATCTTCATGAAACATGATCTTTACTTAATATTCTAATGATTTTTGGCATAAAAGAAAAATCTATAATTTTGACCCATACAATGTATTTTTGGCTATTGCTACAAATATACCCCAGCGACTTAAGACTGGTTTTGTGGTCCAGGGTCACATATATAGACTACAGACACTAGGGATGTCAAAAGTTAATAACAAGTCAATGCCAAAATAAAAAAAATAAAATCACAGCAGTGCCTGGTCCCCATTCAAATCCATTATATTAAAAGCAGTGTTCTATTAAATATTTTATTCCACGCAAGAAAGAAAGTTCGTTTGTTATAAGACTGCTATAAGATATTTGGACTTGCACAAGCACTGTTTACTTCAGTTTTAATTATAAAAAACTGAGGAAACATTTATTTAATTGGGAAATAAAGACGAAATGCCATTGTTTTAATTTAATTTGTCAATATACGGTATAACTATTACTAGTATTGGTATTTTGACAACCCCAAAAGATGTACCAAATAAGAGGAATCTAGTACTGGTGAAAAAATGTAATATGTGTTTTTAAAAATGACATAATTGGGTCAAATAAGCTCAAACTCAGCTTCCATCAAGAAATGGATCCTCAGCAAAAAGGATGTTCTGGAGTGGCACTATACAGATGATATTTGAACTCCAGTGAAAGAGAGCACCTTACTTCCTCAGATGACTCATCTCCATCACCGTAGGCGAGTTCAGCAGGATGTAGCTCTCAGGGGAGATGGAGTCTAAAGATCAGTATCTGGGTATAAAAGGAAGAGTGAGGCATGACCTGAGTTCCCTCCGCTGAGCTCAGACTGATGAGGGTTTAGCCATTTGGCCTGGATCAGCAGGTCAGGCCTGTACAGGTGATGAGCTCTCTGCCCAGAACAGCCCTCGACACGCAAGTTCAGCAACCACCCACCACCACTAATACCCGATTCCCAGAAGAATCCAGCTGGTGAAGGCCATGGCCATCCAGCACGAGCAGGAAGTGATCTAAAGAATCAGATCTCTTTTTTTCCCCTCGACTGAATGATGGAAATGGTTTAAATGCATTTTAACCCTCCTGATGACCACCTTCAAAGTCCAAGATCCTCATGAGGTCTCAAAACGGGATTGTACAGCATTCAGAGAGGCTTCTGGATCAGAGGAAGGCTTAACCAGGACCAACTGAATAAATTAGGCCGTAAGACCACAGCAAATGCAAAGCAGGTCCTCGCATTGTCTGAATTAAACATTATTTTTGTCTATCAGCAGAAGGATGAGGTGGCTTTAATTAAGTTAAGAGTTGCCTGAGAGACAGTTTAACAGGAGGGCATTAAAGAATACTGTAAACAAACAAAAGGAGTGGATAGATAATCCATAAGCAATTAATTAAGGGAGGAACTGTTTGGCTTCCGCACATATCAGTCACATTGAATAATTGCTGGAAAAGAGAGAGATATTTATACACTGTCCCAGGTTAACAAGTCTGTACAAGGAAAGGAGGAATGAGATGAGACACAAGGCTCCCCTCCCTCTCACAGTCCTTCTCTCTCTACCAACTAAGATGTCGCAGCAGCTCGCGTGATGGTTGACAGTGATTTGGTATGCGTGATCTTTACTATTCAAGATATATTAGCTAAACCATCTGCAAGGTCAGGGAGGTAATGGCTATTGTATATTTTATGAAGGAGGCTGCAGTTAATCATAAGGATGAAGGTGATTTTTGTGAGGGCGTACATCATGGTTTTGTTCCAAACCCTGGTGAGCTTCCATGCTGTCTATACTGTCTAAAAAGGCAGTATCTAACCAAAAATTAGCTTGAAATGTATATGACAAAAGAGAAAATCTGAGAGTAAATGAATATATTGAAAATAAAATAAAATAAAATCAGTTAATATTTAGCAAGTTAGGCACACTTTTAGGGGGTGGATTTTAATCGGACAGTATTATTATTTTTTGTTTAATAATACTTCACTACTGATTAAAATATAGTTATAGAATAGAACATCTCTCCGGACTCTGTCCACCATTTTATTAAACAAAAAACAAACAAATAAATTAGCTTCTTGCAATGGTTTCTGGGATTGTCTTATCCTTGAAGTATACATGCAATGATTTTGACCAAAATAACTTGTAATGTGTCATATTTTCACAACATTTCAGAACAGACTTTATAGGCAGATCACAAGGGTTCAAAGCAGAGCCATCAATAGCAGAATTTTAAAAAACAAATAAAACGATTATACCTCTGCATCTGCCACTGACAGATATTCTCCCAAACCATTCAAATACATCAGCCATTTCTGTCAGCTTTTGTACGAACAGCAGCTTCATTTATATGCGACCTTTACATATTAACTGAAGGTAGGAATTTTTCCAATGCAAAAATGCTTTTTCTCATATTCAGAGAGAACTATAAGAGAGCCATTTTCAGGCTGATTTCTGAAAAGTGTAACTGTGGCTCTTTGGTGCTAGCAAAACATTTCCAACCAGTTTGATGGCTACATTGACTTAACCAATTGTGTGAGATTGGGGTGGGTCTATCTGTTTGCCTGACCAATGGAAGACAGGGTGTGTGTGTGTCTGCAAAACCTGTGCGAAAACAATCACTATTTTTCTGTTTGATACTAGAGGCACAGTAAATTACACACTTAACCTTTCAAGAATAAAAGAGCAGAACTGAATTACCACAGTAATTTAGATCGTTTCCAGGGACTGGGTCAATAACAAAAGCACCGTGAGATGAATTTACCTGAATTTCCACCCCATAGCCCATGTAGACTGTCACGGTGTATGTGCAGTCCACATCCGTATTGTACCAACTCTTAGCTTGCTGCAGTGTCTCTATGTAGCCTCCCGGCGATGTGAAATTGGTGTTGCATGGAGCTGCATTAGAAAAGATAGAAGGACAGAGAGATGAGACACAAGGCTCCCCTCCCTCTCACAGTCCTTCTCTCTCTACCAACTAAGATGTCGCAGCAGCTCGCGTGATGGTTGACAGTGATTTGGTATGCGTGATCTTTACTATTCAAGATATATTAGCTAAACCATCTGCAAGGTCAGGGAGGTAATGGCTATTGTATATTTTATGAAGGAGGCTGCAGTTAATCATAAGGATGAAGGTGATTTTTGTGAGGGCGTACATCATGGTTTTGTTCCAAACCCTGGTGAGCTTCCATGCTGTCTATACTGTCTAAAAAGGCAGTATCTAACCAAAAATTAGCTTGAAATGTATATGACAAAAGAGAAAATCTGAGAGTAAATGAATATATTGAAAATAAAATAAAATAAAATCAGTTAATATTTAGCAAGTTAGGCACACTTTTAGGGGGTGGATTTTAATCGGACAGTATTATTATTTTTTGTTTAATAATACTTCACTACTGATTAAAATATAGTTATAGAATAGAACATCTCTCCGGACTCTGTCCACCATTTTATTAAACAAAAAACAAACAAATAAATTAGCTTCTTGCAATGGTTTCTGGGATTGTCTTATCCTTGAAGTATACATGCAATGATTTTGACCAAAATAACTTGTAATGTGTCATATTTTCACAACATTTCAGAACAGACTTTATAGGCAGATCACAAGGGTTCAAAGCAGAGCCATCAATAGCAGAATTTTAAAAAACAAATAAAACGATTATACCTCTGCATCTGCCACTGACAGATATTCTCCCAAACCATTCAAATACATCAGCCATTTCTGTCAGCTTTTGTACGAACAGCAGCTTCATTTATATGCGACCTTTACATATTAACTGAAGGTAGGAATTTTTCCAATGCAAAAATGCTTTTTCTCATATTCAGAGAGAACTATAAGAGAGCCATTTTCAGGCTGATTTCTGAAAAGTGTAACTGTGGCTCTTTGGTGCTAGCAAAACATTTCCAACCAGTTTGATGGCTACATTGACTTAACCAATTGTGTGAGATTGGGGTGGGTCTATCTGTTTGCCTGACCAATGGAAGACAGGGTGTGTGTGTGTCTGCAAAACCTGTGCGAAAACAATCACTATTTTTCTGTTTGATACTAGAGGCACAGTAAATTACACACTTAACCTTTCAAGAATAAAAGAGCAGAACTGAATTACCACAGTAATTTAGATCGTTTCCAGGGACTGGGTCAATAACAAAAGCACCGTGAGATGAATTTACCTGAATTTCCACCCCATAGCCCATGTAGACTGTCACGGTGTATGTGCAGTCCACATCCGTATTGTACCAACTCTTAGCTTGCTGCAGTGTCTCTATGTAGCCTCCCGGCGATGTGAAATTGGTGTTGCATGGAGCTGCATTAGAAAAGATAGAAGGACAGAGAGAGGCAGAGAAAGTGTGCATCAGTAGAGGCGAGCCTTTTCTCATTCTCTCCATCTCACTTCATTGCATTCCCTCCCATCTTTAATTGTCCTTCAAGATTTTCTCATTTTCTCTGATTCAACAAGGTCAGTTTTCCTGCCCTGCTGTGTAGGAGCATGCGGACAATTCAGGTGAAATGGCAGGTGAGTGAATATTTTCTGTTAGCCTTGAGGTCTTTCTGCTCTGTCGGCTCCTTTATCTTCCTCTAGAGTTAAACGCTGCTTAGGGTCAAGAGATATGTTCTCGCTCCATATAAATTCATACGCTTGGCCTTAGTTATTAGGGATGTTTAAAGGGACAAACATGTAGCCTGAATTCATTTTTTTCAGACCCCAGAATTTATTGCACAAATCTACCAAAGTCTTAATGTTAGGAGCGGCACAAAACTGCTTATCCACTGGCATCTCAAAACCCACATCTTTAGGCACAAGCAGGGCAGGTAAACCTCTGAAGAGCTCTGAATTACGCATCAGGAAGCTGTGTAAAAAATATGTAAATCTAAGTCACGCTGATCGTGTGAATGGTACCTGGTGCCTGCATGGTCGCAATAACCGTTGTGGTGATGATGGTGGAGGTGGTGGTCTCCTCATCCAAATCCCCAGACATTGATGATGCTTTTACAGCAACATCACTTCCTGGAGTGCCATGTTCTACCTTGAGTATTGAGGACTTTTCTTTGTCTCTTTTCAGCAGGATTGTTGCATCTTTGTGCTCGTTGTTTAAGGTCAGAGTGACATCTCCTCTGTCTGATTGTTTGGAAGCAGGCGGTGCGGATGTGTGCACGTCAGTGGTGGTCACTGACGCTACAGTCATGGACACGGATGGTTCCTCCGTGCTTCTGCTCTGTGTTTCAGCTGAAGGTTTGTGTTGGATGTTGGGCATGTGTGGCTGGGTGAGGGCGGCGGCTGATGGAGCCAGTGTGGTGGTTCTGGGAGCTGCTACATCAGGGAATGGAGGTGCGTCCTTGTGTTGGACCAGCTGTGTGGACGGATCCTGGAGGAGATGAGAATTAGACGATGGCATTGTGGGATGGTGAGCTGCCCCTCCGCTGTCCTGAAAATACTGCTCATGGCTTTGGCCCCGAGGGTCGTAAGGTGGGTAGGGCTTAAAAGGCAGATGGTGGCCGAGGCCACTGTAAGAGGGAGCTGTTGTGAACAGGGGCAGGCCTCTGTCTGTGTTCTGTGTGGTGTGATATGGATTGGACCTTTCCTCTGCTTCCAGCTGATCTCCTCTTTGGGTGCCTGCCAACCTCCTGTCCATAAAAGAACCTGGAAGAGAGAGTCAATACAAGCTCATTATGAAATATACATACAGTGAGTTTAGAATAGAGTTAATCTCACCAAAAACATAATTTTTGATGTACATTGATGAACGATTTTTGATTTGATATTTCAGTGATGAATTCAACATCCTAAACAATCACATTTATTTCTATAGCACTTTTAATATTGGCCAAGTGCTTTTACATTATAAAATAATATCAGTAACACAAAACAATATAATATAAAACATAAAACCACACTTAATTCCCAGATAAGCAATTGCAAAATGATAATTCTCCAAAAGTCACTAAAACACAGAAAATTGATAACTAAAGCATAAAGCAACACAGCTTGCTAAACTATTAAAAATATAGGTTAATGTCCATATATCCATAGTAATATAATTAGGGCACACTGTTTAGGTGGGGGGACTGTGTCCCACTACTGACAAAAGGCTAGATATCCCCCTGGCAAGAGAGCATGAAAAGCATAAAAAACAAAACAAAGTTCCATCGTAAGTAACTTGCGATTTTATGTTTCAACCAGAGATTGTCGATAGAGAGGCCAAAATACTGTTGTGTACCTTTAAAAATGTTTAATCCAAGTAAATCCAAGTAACCGAATAAAATTAATAAATATGGCATGAACAATACGGACTACATTTAAATTTTTATCAAAAAAATAAATAAAATTAAAAGCTGTAGAAATTAACAATGATTTAGAGCTACAAAAATAACTTGGGTGTTCAAAAAACTAGTCGTTTTTAACATATTTCAAAGCCAGGCACCCTACCTTGTGTTAAGCCTTATAACAAATTTCCACTCTATACCACCCAAGAAGAGGAGGACTGTGCAGCTTATACGGCTCGTGACGCTTTGTGGTTCAGCCATATGAAATTGAAAAGCATTCAAACTGCGGGGTCAGAACCCCTGGCACATTAACAAAATGGAAATGTATCTGCTAAATGGATTATGATTGGAGATGCTTTGAAAACGCCTTGGAGCATGTGGAGGAAAAAAAATAAACTCCTTCACCATAATTGTTAATTTGAATGCTCTCTCTCCTCCCTTGCCAATTAATGAGTCCAAACCATCATCAGGCGGCACGTTGTAATGAGTGGATTTGAGAAGTGTAGCGGTGAAAATGGATCTCCTCCACCTGCACCTGGTGAGATGTAATCAGCCGGCCTTCAGGAGTCTGCTGCGTGCCGGGGAAACTTTTGATTTCACAATGCTTCATTTGCACCCTAATAGCTCTCATTCTGTTTTCCGGCTTACTAATAACAATCTGCTTCCCGGTGTATCTGAAGCGCGTTCCCACGAAAGGAACGGAAAGGAGAGGATGATATCTCAAACTGAATGGAACTGACGGGCTATTTTTTTCTCCTTATCCTATCCTATGAAGTGTCAGAGGCAAAAGATACACATCGTTTCGCCGAGCGGTGATGTGTGTTTTATGAGAGATTGACTTCACTTTGAGGGTAAAAATCACATCGACATCTAACGCATCACTCAGATCCAGGTAAAATGACACATGAGAGACAAAGCAAAGGGCAGAAAGTCCTCAATTCCTGTCATCTATTTAGAATTCAGCCATTTGTAGACCATTTGTAGACCAAAACCATTTTTTTTTTACGAGAAGACCAAAACGCAAATGTCGTGAGCTCTAAATTTCAATCAGGGCTTTGCTTTATGATTAATTTATTAGCTGTGCCCTTACATGAGTAATTATGAAATAACCAATGTCAAATTTCAAGGTTGTTAAATTAGACAGACTGAATGTAATGAATGGGCCTAATGTTACAAGGTGAATTATTATCCATTTCACCCAGAACACGAACATTTCTGGAAAGAACCACTCGCGAAAGTTTGTATCTTGGGAGTTCCTGACTTATAAAAAGCTTCTGAAATCACTATGCATATCACACTCAATGTCACAGGGATTTTGTGTTGAAAAAAACAGCATTCCCAAACGCTTCCCAGTGGAAAGTCCCATATACCCCCTGGACTTCACATAACCACAGCAGTTCATAGTCCAGGCTCTACTAAAAACTCCAGGCAAGACCAAACAGACATGGTGTGCTGAGGCAGGAGAGTGTTTGATTTGCTCCATTAGTGCTGGTGGAGTATAAACAGAATCTCTCAGACTGACTTCACTGTCTGTTCAAAGGTCCCTCAGTGTTGTGCTCTTCAATGGCTGGATTTGACTTTTAAATGACCATGAGCCTGCCTTAGAAGCTTTTTACACAAACCAGCGGGGGAGTGTGGGCTTTGTTTTTCACTCTGTTGCATTTTCTCTTAACTTGCAAATAGGTATGTTCACTGAACTCCTATTTAAATAGCGCCCTTTATGCGTGAAACACAGTGAAGGAAGAATTACTGCAAATAACAGCTGGAGGGAGAACTGGGCTGTCATTCATTTTTATGCAAAAAGTTGCCCTGAGACATCTGTAAAGAAGCATATCATTTACTAGTCATTATTTATAAGAAGCTTTTATCCAAAGTGACTTACAGTACATGCATTACCTGGGCAAACCCGCTAGTGCAATCTGGGTTTTTTGCTGCTTTCACAACCTCCAAAAAATTGTCCTATTTTTGAGTTCATAAGTTGTCCCCAAGAGTTTTTGTACTTTAGGTGCGTCCAAGTTCACATACTTATGCACTATTCTAGACGTTTTTAGTATAAATAGTGTGAAGAGTGTGTTCTCAAAAAGAATATGTGGACTTCCCAGATGTTGCACTTGATGAAATGTGGAATGTTGGACATTTCATGCTGCATTTCCAAACTGTCGCAGCTTTAATTACATGCTAGAGGGGGCGGGGCTATTCATACACTAGATGGTGGTGTACGTGCATCATTTGGGACACAACTTTGTATGCACTTGTAGCACTATTACACTTGTGTCTTAACCAACCCTGACAGCGATACACGACGAGTGACAGGAGATTCTATTTGGGGAATGGGTTTCTATTTTTGTGATGTCGTGGCAGGAACAACAGCATACAAACTATGACGATGATAATCTCAGGTACTGAGTATGTGCTTTTTGATTGACTTTTCATTGAGCAGCACCGTGTCTGGTGTGGACAGACAAATTGCTTGTCACTGGAATCTCATCGCATCGCATCTGGTTACAAGTTCACATACTTATGCACTATTCTAGACGTTTTTAGTATAAATAGTGTGAAGAGTGTGTTCTCAAAAAGAATATGTGGACTTCCCAGATGTTGCACTTGATGAAATGTGGAATGTTGGACATTTCATGCTGCATTTCCAAACTGTCGCAGCTTTAATTACATGCTAGAGGGGGCGGGGCTATTCATACACTAGATGGTGGTGTACGTGCATCATTTGGGACACAACTTTGTATGCACTTGTAGCACTATTACACTTGTGTCTTAACCAACCCTGACAGCGATACACGACGAGTGACAGGAGATTCTATTTGGGGAAAGGGTTTCTATTTTTGTGATGTCGTGGCAGGAACAACAGCATACAAACTATGACGATGATAATCTCAGGTACTGAGTATGTGCTTTTTGATTGACTTTTCATTGAGCAGCACCGTGTCTGGTGTGGACAGACAAATTGCTTGTCACTGGAATCTCATCGCATCGCATCTGGTTAGGACACGGCGTTACATTCACACAAAAGGTTTAAACAGTAGAAACAGAAGCTTGCAACAGCAAGGTCACAGGTTTGATTCCCAGAGAATGCATGGACGAACGAAGCTTTTACGGGTTTGGTACGACATGGGGGTAAGTGATTAATGACAAAATTTTCATTTTGGGGTGGAGTAACCCTTTAAATGCACTGCAAGTTGCTTCAAATAAAAAAAAATCTGTAACACTTTAGTTTATATGGACCAATTCTCACTATTAACTAGTTGCTTATTAGTATGCCTATTATTGACATATTGGCTGTTTATTAGTACTTATAAAGCACTTATTCGGCATGACCATATTCTAATCCCTAATCCTACCCAATATCTAAATTTAACAACTACCTTACTAACTATTAATAAGCAGCAAATTAGGATTTTATTGATAGTTAATAGTTAATGGTTTGTTAATAGTGATAATTGGACCTTAAAATAAAGTGTGACAAAAAAAAATCTAACAAGTACATGACAAAATAATAATATAATATATACACATCCCAGTCCCGAGGCAATTATTTTGTATATATTTTATACATTTACTACTACTAAAATGTATATTATTTATTATTTATTAAAATTTATAATTTATGTGTTATTTGTAAATTTATTATTTATTCTTTTGAAATAAAACTATTAAATCCATTACAATACACATGAAAGATTGTCTATAGGTTTATTACAAGTCTACGGAACAGAAGAAGAGGAAACTAATACTGTGTTAAAAACTGTGTTAAAATACTTTCTCTAAGCTCAAAGAGCAGCATCTAAGGCCCATCAAGACACAGAGGGGCTTCATCTCCCAGAGCTCATGTATCAGCTGTGTGACCGGAGGAGGGATTGTTTGACTTTGACAGTAAAGGTTGACGAGTAGCAGATGGACAGTTTTCTGTAATGTCTTTTCACATGCCACCCAGCAAATATTTTACTCAATTTTTGCTTGCCACTGTTTGCATTGATTAAAGTATAACCGCCTCCTTGCAAGGATGTTTGTCTGTCCCAGCCCTAAGTGAGTTTTGATAACAGCTCAGTAAAGAGACGTTGCGGGTACTGTGCTTCAAGAGAACGAAACAGATGGTGAGAAAAAGGAGACAGAGAGACAGATAGAGAGAGAAAACACACACCACAAGCCACAAGGCATCTACTGAAAACTGTAAAAAAGAGAAGGACTGTGAGGCAAAGCACTCCCCTCCCCATTGTGTACAGCTAGCATCAATAATGCACCAGGGAAACTAACACAGCGCCTCCCTCACAGCTATACGTCTGCTCCAGCTCCCCACGCCTCCACTGTAAAGGCAAAAAAATAAAAAAACTCCAGGAAGGAGCACACTGCCAAGTCTAAGTTATG